TTCAGGTTCAAGGTCACACGAAGGTTACGTCACAGTATATGGCTCTGCAAGATCAATTAATTTTTACAGGTTTATAATAGCTTCTTGGTGTCTGTCGATGGCCCTTGTAAGACTATCCAGGTCTATCCAAGCAACACCACTGGGTGGCTGCTAAAAAATGGAGGTCGATGTTGGTCAAAGGAGACGGTGAAAGGTGATTGCAGGTAGCCAAAAATGGCGAATTGGGTCGAAGATGACCAGTGAACTTCGTAGAAGGGAGCCCGGATTTGCCTGAAGCTCGACGACATATGCGAATTTTCGGCCTCGACGAACCAACTTATACAATAATCCCCTCCCTTTAAAACAAATGCATCGATCCGACAGCGTTCTCTGGATTATCTTTAGACGAGACATTACCAGAAATGGGCAAATTCATTTTGTAGACAAAGAATTTCGAATAATGAATAAAAGATTCAAAAAGGTATTTCGGTATTTTTAATTGACCTAAACGTGGGAATTCTAATTTCTATAAGAATATAACAATTGTTCTTCCATGACTAGACACTTGGCGGACAATTATATAATATAGGTATCCATTTATAGCGCCCCTAACTTGCAAAAAACTTAATATTATCTCCGCAATATTATTATTAACATATTAAAACCCAGAGTACAGAAAACAAATTTCTGTGGAACCTGATTTTTCTCTATATTAATATCCCAAATTATAAATTTGCATAAAAATCCGCAGTCTAACTATCAGCAATTATTCTAACCAAGTGACGTAATACAATATTTCAAAGGATCACGAAATCTACTGATTCGATCCTAGATATACAAGTGAAAATACATTACGATTCCACTATAGTCGGTTCTTCAACCTTGAAGAAAATATCGTTTTTTCCCTCGAACCGGAAGGCCGTCGAGCTGTTTTAAATACCATATCCGCTACCGAATCAGGTGGCCCCGCGGTATTTCCGGCGTTGTTCTCTCGATCGATCCTCGCAGCGATATCCAAGGCGGACGCATTGCGTGGTGCGTGCGTGCGTATGGCCGCAGGTGAAAGTGGACGTTCGGCGGAGTCATTGTGCGGGGACGTTTCGCGGAAAGGCAGAACTTCCCGGTCTTCCGATTACGCAACCGGACGGACCAGTTTTCGGCCAGGTACAGACCAGGGCCCCGCGTGAAATCGAAAGCGAAAGGGGGCACGACGCCCGATCCCGGATCAGCCAACGCTTCTCGATCGGCGAAGAATGACCCCTTAAGGTGGCTCACGCAAATTTTTCATAATTATAAATTCAACTGTAAAATTTACCAGAGCATTCTTAAAAGCTTCAACTATCGAATAAAACTACAAATTATGATCAAAGTATGCAAACTTATGGGTTTCAATTTTCCATGCTTTTGGTTACTACCTTAGTAGTTAATTACTAAAAAAGATACTTCTTCTATGAATGTCTGCTATGAGCATCAACGTCACTTGTTTTCCTTTGGTTTGTTCGACGAACTTTCCAATTTCTTAAGACTTAAAAAAGCTATTAAAGTTCTTTTACAATAACGAAAAAAAATTTCGTTCTTTCCACTTATTTGTAAAATGACCTTATTTTTTTGCATGTTTTCGTTGAAACGCATATCGAATGCTTATTCTTGCTATATTCGCCTGATTAAATATCACCTTCTCTTCGGGCCGCTAAAGGGGAGAGGATCTTTAACTCTTTCTCGCCCGTGGCGACGAAAACCGAGAGAGCTCATGAGTCGAGATCGACGACCATTGGGGCGTGACTTCTCATGCCTCTTCTCACCTCTTGCCTTCGTAACCTGGGCTCCTCTGGCCCAGTGAAACAAGCTCGAGTGTTCGTCTCCACTTGCAGCGAATTTATCGTCGCGACCGGTGTGTAATCGGCGCCGATTACACAGCCCCGTACAGGATCCGCTTTACCGTTGTTAATTAACAATTCAACAATCAAAAAAATTGTAAAACCCGTGGTCGTAAATCAAAGTGACTTAATTAAGAATTTCGCAGTCGTTACATAAAACCCAAAGGAGGAGGTATTATACATGTGGCGTTAATTCATATGGATTCCAATTCGAGTTACGCGTGAAGGTACCTACATTTCGAGGTTTTTTACCGTGGGAATGAATCAAATCGATCGTTCTTATCGTTCAGGAAGTTCCTGGATCACGAGTAATTTCATCGTTGCGTGCTTGATGGAAAAAATCCAATAAACATATATATATATATATATATATATATACGGTGATTGCCTCAATTTCAACGGCGGTTACGTCTGATCCGCAAGTCGAGTGCAGGCTAATCCGGATTAGGCCTGGGATACGTATAATACGGATTAAGACTGTGATTTATATCCTTATTAGTTAGGCTACAGACAGATCTGGATCAAAGCCCGCGTGAGCATACATTGATTCCACTTACCTTGTTCCGCCACGATGTGCTCGATGAATGTCGCTGTCGATCGTTAATATAATTCGAGACGCATCGAAACCCGAGGTTCACGATAAAATCGGGGCACGTTTTCGCGGTACGGAACCCAATGAAAGCATCGGTCGCGATGCACGCGCATACACGCGTTCCCAGGTGATGCAACCGTGCACTCCTGGTCTTTTCGAGTCTCGGCACTCGTTTCCGCATCTTCGGCGGTTACGCAACACCACGGTGAACCAGTTTCTGGACAGGCCACCTTTGTGTAATTATGCCCGAGCAGCTGTCCCCGCAAGAACAATACCGTCTCCTGTTCTTACGGGCCGTGAAAGCTGTCGTCCTACGCGCTTGTCAACGAAAGTTCGAGCATCGTCGTTTTTTATTTTTCTTTCTTCGTGCAATTTCGCAAGTTGCTCTGCTCACGATAGAGAAGAACGAGCGTCTTAATCGAGAACGTCGTTTTTTTTTCTGCGTAGAAAAATATAAAACCAACCTGTACCTTCGTTTAGTTATGACTGGACTACGGATGTTTATGCAAATTCGCGATTATCTGATATGCGTATCTGAACATTAGAACGTGACAGTATTTTCAAGTCTGTAGTTGAGGCTTTCTTACCTTAAGAATAAGGTGTAGATAGTATTAAACTTAACACGTTGATTGCCAGCTACGAGATAACTCGTAGTTGAAACATTGCTAACATGCTGGATTATTTAAACACCTCTGCAAAATTTTGGCATAAGATTAATATCACAGTATCATTTAAAACAAGACAAGCAATCTCTATCAATTAAACGCATATATTTTTAAAGATTTATGACTTAAAAAACGAAATAAAGTGTGTCTGACTACGTACTGCTTTTTCCACTGTGGCAGTCAACGCGTTAATTGATATCTTTATTTTCATGCATTTCCCAACTGAAGGGCTGCTGTAAGTGCATAAACATCTAGCAGTCTAGTCACGACTATAACAAGATCATACAAAAATTCAACGTAAATGAACTTGAACATATTTGATTAACACTTTGCTTGTCATCACAATCCACCACGAATCCTTTAATTGCGCAACCAGGTAAGCCAATTTCGGCTCCACGGTTGAACAACTTCTGTTCGACGGCCAGCGAAAGTCTGGAATAATGGGTTTTGGGCGACGGGTTCCCTTTGTGAATGTCGAACGGATCGGAAAAGAAAGAAATCTTCGAGTTAACCGCAATCTCTCGCTGCAAACGAACCAGAAATCTCGAATTTCACCATCACATTCCCTTATTCGTTCGAAGTATAATTTCTGTAGATATTTGTGGGATATTTGAAAAGAAATTGACGCATTTATTTCTCTTACAAGTTGATCGTTACAGTGTTAACAACGAAATGAGTCGTCCCTTACGGTTAATTTTACTGTATAAAATATATATATATATGGAATACGTTTTTTTCTTCTCGGAAAAAATCTGTTAACGATATCGAGAAATAATTTCTCAGTAATATTAACCACCCGTGACCGTTCTTATTTTTACTGCTTCCGTTATCTCCTTGGATCTTGCATACCCACATCTATTTTTTTTTCTATTTTATAGACTACTAGATCTTAAAAAATCTGAAAAAATTCAGTGTTACCTCCTAGGGTCTCTACTACACGATCCAATAATTTTTAAAGTTCAATGTTAAAAGAATATTTTAATCCTTTCCTTTCGGGGATATTTTCGCGCGAAATCTCGCTCGTGCCGTAACAGATCCAGGAGATCACGAAGGGTCAATGTTACGTAATTGTCGCTCGTTGGTGGCGTAATTATTCACGTTAATGCGTCGCGTTTCCAAGTGCTTCGACGCATCGAACGATAAAACACTATATTTACACTATAGACATGTCAACCAACCGTCTAACTCGAGCCACACCCGGCAATTTTCGTCGTTGGCTCGCGACACAAACGACAATTGTTCGTAATCACGCGGGTAAATCCGTTTTTCCACAAAAAAAAAAAAAAAAAAAAAAAAAATGGCGTGTGGCGCACGATTACGAGGAGACGCGCGCTCTTATGCGGAATCGTTTAATAATTACAACCCATGCGCGACCGCAGCCCCGTTCAAACTCGACAATTTACGGTTTAAACCGGTTGATGAATACTTACACGACAACAATGGCTCTCGACCGTCGTTCAAGTCAGCCCCACGTGGGGAATTCGACGCGTCTGTTCGTTCGGAATGGACACGTTTCAAGCTGTCATAGCCGGCGTCGTCTCGTCCGACATCTACGACAAGAATTGCTTAAACGTTTGCTAATCCTACTCGTGGTACTTAATTACGAATTTTAAAGTTTCAACGGACCGTGAATTTCGCCAGGGGATTCGATTCCTCTGGCCGACGAAAGTCAGAGCTGTCTATATTATACATGTGATAGAAAATTGAAACGTGTTCGTAGAACATCGACACTGTGACATATGTCGATGTCATATCGTCGTGGAGCAACAAAGAAAACAAAATCGATTTATTTCCCGACAACCTGATGCTTCCGATATCAACCGATCGAGGAATCGTCGATCATGTTTTTTGGGCCCGATGGGGCATCGATAATACGCTCCAGGGCAGCTACAGAGGCTCGATCCACGAATTCGTTCCTATAACCCGTGATATCGTCAGTAATAACGTCGCGATTCCAGGCAGGATCGTCATCGTAGACGTCGAACCGGCACCGCCGTTGTAGAACCCGCTTCCGTAGACCTGCAGACCGGCGGTCTCGATGCTGCGCTTGCAATAATCCCCGTCTGCAATTCAGTTCGGACACAATGATCTCCGAGAGTGAGATTCGCGGTTATCGCAGACGGCTTGGTTATCGTTATTACGTCGATGAACAATTTTTATGACGACGATTGTGACCGCGGGAGGGCGGCCGATAGGCGACCGCGAATTACGGTGCAGAGAGGTGCATGGGCGGAGGTGATTGTTGCGAGATAACGAGCGTGAGAAGCATTGCGATGTGCGTGGTGGCCGTGTTGGGGAAAGAAGCAGGTGATTTGCTATGATAAGTTTCGAGGGATAGATAATGGGAGGAGTATGGAGACGTGGGAGGAATTTCATGAGGAGAAGGGGTGAATGGAGCAACCCTTGTTTCTGTTTTGGGTTAGGTTTTCGAAACCTGTGGACGCTGGAGCGGGGGACTTTGGAATAATAAAGTAGGGGGATTGGAAGATGAAGAGAAATATGTTTTAGGGGAAGGGGGTGGAAAGAAGTACTATAATAGCATAACTGTGAAGCCATCGTAAAATTTTCAATCCTTATGTATTGTGGTTAAAATAAAAAAGAAACGCTTTTTTCTAGGGAATACAATTTATCCTTTTCTGAAGGAACATTATTTCACAACGTGATTGCAGATATGCCATGCTTGGTTCGTTTTTATTTTAGCCACGATACATAAGCATTGAAAATTTTATCGAGGTTTTGTGCCACGCGGTGTATTCCGTTCCGTTGAAAATGTTAACAGTATTGCAGTGTTTTAAATTATTCCCTAGATAATATTAAAATATTGTTCCAATAAACACGTCTGGTTTTAATAAATATTTGTTGTTCAGTTCTCCATGAATCGCTGAGTTTTGAGGGGGCTGGCCGAGCCGACTGCGGAAATCGAGAGTTCGCGCTTCAGAGCGAACGAGAAGAAAGGAACGATTGTAAAATCCCGTAATCGAGATCGATAAAATAAAAAAAAGGGGGGGGGGGCTCCCGTTGATCGGGGGAAGTGACGGGAAACGAAAAAAGAGGTCGTTTTCCCTTTCGATCGAGAACCTGCTTCTGCGGAACACACATCCGTGACGTAACCATAGTCTCCTTTTTGTGTCACTGATCTTGGACAAAAAAGTCTCGATCGCACCACGGATTCTATCCCATGAATATCTTCAGAATTTTAAGAGGAACGGACGCTCATTAATTATTTACTTCCTCCGTCTTCGAAGCCGTGAATCAAACGCGTCGGAGACACAAGGAATATAAGAAATGTCACCGGATACCTACGGTAAAAGAAGAATCGCGAATTGGTGTGGGTAGATCGCAAGACAACTTAAGGGGGTATTCTACTGTAACCAGTAGAATTCTTAGCAAAAATCGATACTTAATTTTCAAATCGCAGCCATTTAAAAAATTTCCAATATTTCAACCCAAATTTGGTACCTGCGTAGCCATGCCCCAATAATGTAAGAATCTTTGTTTTTTATTTCAGATGAACAGAACGACCAGAATCATGGCAATCAATCCAGCAATTTTTTTTCGAGGTGGTCGACTTTCATGAGCTGCATTGCCATCTTTATTTCATATTTTCAGCTAAACAAAATTTTCATTTATAGTTTAAGATATAATGAATATATAAGAAAATCAGTCAGCATGAAAATCTTATATCGATCCCTTAGAAAAAATTTTAACAAACTCGCATGTCACAGTGGAATGCCCCCTTGAGTCAGAGGTCGCCGGGGATCACGCGAGACCTCGTTTCGGGGCCGAGAAAAGAAGTGAAAAAGGAAAGGGAAGCAGCGCGGGGCGGTATCGCGATCAAAAGAGAAATTATACAACCTGGCCTGTCCGCAATTTCTTTCTCCTCGATTACGCGCGGGTCACGTACATCTGCGCTTTCCATCGCGATCGATTCTCGGAAGTGGCCGATTTTTCCGGCTCGATATCGCACGAAACGATTTTCCTTTGTGCCCGCCGGTGAACGGTGTCGCGCTCGAAGCGGTTCAACACGTTCGCCATCACCATAATTGTGATTCGAAAACGTTCGTCACAGACCTCTCTAAGCTCCCCATCATTTTCCTAAGTGAAATGTCTTTACCTCGTTGATTGGGTATTAAAAAAAAATACAAAAAACAGAGAAAAAGAATAATATCAAATATAGATGAATATTTGAAAACATATCCTGTGTTTACGTCGTATGAAATATGTTGACATATAGCCGTACGATTTTTTAACTGTACCAATTCCATTTTTCAAAGAGATTTAGTTAATCGATCTACGTGCGTTTTGTGATCTGCAGAATAAAAATTCACCGTAATATAAATATTCATTTAAGTCCTAATTCCGAAACTTTGAAGGCTTTTTTTTCTTAATGATCTCATCTCTAAATACGAAAAACAATTACAAATTTATGTTGATAATGGGATAAAATTTTGTTAAATATTGTAATGAATAATATTAAAGTTTGTAACTCGAACGTTAAGAGTGATATAACTGCTTTCTGCCAGCCAACTTATGCAGCTAAAAGATTACACGTTTGATGGTTGGTCGAGCAGTGTTTCTGCAGCTTTTTCACCACGTTTTTCAAGCTGTATCACTTTGGTAGCAAAGATACGATATGTGGCGCGCTGATAACGAACGTTTTAAAGCACATTGCATACGATCGATGGGCAGCGTCGTTACGATACTATATCGATGATACAGTGTTATTCGACGGGCTTACGTTATTGATGAATCATACGAACGAATGGTACCATAAAGAAACCGCGAAATCGTTTGTGAATGTACACCGTGTCGTACAGAGTGTTACAGAATCGCTGGAAACATTGTATCCCAACAGTTGGCTTTGGACGATTGTTTTTATTTTACTAAATAGAAATCTGAACATAGTATATTTTGTCACACTTTATCGTGAAATTCTTTTCAAATTGGCCTTTACAATTATTTGTTTTTCAAACGTTAAAAATGAATCTTTCTAAAAAAATAACTGTTATTCGAAAAAATCGTACTATTCGAAGTATTCCAATAAATCGTACTATTAGAAGTATTCGAATTATTCGAGTACTTACAGTACTAGTCGAAATGACCCAACATCCATCGCGATACAGTATTTCCAACGATTGAATCTTATTCTGTACGCTACTTTAAATCTTTTACAAACAAACGTAGCTGGGGCGGTTTTCGATAAAGTCTTCTTTTTGACGCGCGCGCGATGAGAAGCATCCATTAGTGCACGCACGGATGCAAATTCGAGCGGTGGATCGGCGTCAAGGTGCAACGTGCAGTGGAATCGAGAATTGGAATTACCGAACGTGTCTCACGACGTTGGTTTCTCTCTCCACTATCTTTCATTCTCTCTCCCCATCATGTTTACGTTCGTTTCATTCTGATTTCACAATTCGTTGGTCCCACGGGGCCCGGAGAGCTTCGTGGGCCGAGGTTGAGCCGGGACCGTTTTGCGTTTTATGGCAGAAATAATGACACGTTACGTCGACCGTCGAGCCTGGATCCTCTTTGAGACACGACAGAAGCGTTCGCAGGTAGCGATCGGTAATCGAACGGTTCAAACACGTTGCAACTTCTGACGAAATGTTCGAACAGTTCGCGAAATGTATCCGGACATTTCAAACGTCTCAAACATTTCGAACAGTGTTCGATCGTTTCGAACATTTTCAACATTTCAAACAGTCGAACATTTGAAATGTCCAAACACTGTTCGAACAGTGTTCGGTCGTTTGAAATGTCCAAACACTGTTCGAACAGTGTTTGGTCGTATCCAGACGTCTCGAACGTCTGAAACCACCAGATACTGTTCGAACTGTTCAAACATATACCGCTGGAAAATGTCCATGTTCAAAGCTGTTTCTTCGTGGATCCATCGCAACTCGCAGGATCTATCTTTCAATCGATTTCTCCGAAGGTAACACTAAACGCGTTTGCAAACTCGTATATAAAGGGCAGATTAATAAACTCCTGTCTAGTTGGGCAATTCGTCTCGCTCGATTAATCGGCTATCAATTTTCGAAAACTAATTTAAAGAGATCCCTTTACGATCTTTTTAACACGCTATCGTTAACGGCCGCGTGAATTTGGATAATTTTTCCGGCGTCGTCCGTCGGATCGTTATTCAGCCGAATGTCGTCACACAATGAATATTTGTAGCGCTCGACGGTAACTGGCACGTGGGAACTGCAACCTTCAATCTGTTACGGTAGGAAGTTGCATAATTTGTAACAAGTTACGATGAAAGGCGCGCAGCACCGCGGCTACGGCTCCTACCGATCGCGGCCGTACGGTAACTGTGTGTGTCACGTGAATCGGTTCCTTGTTTGCGTCTAATTGCCCGAGGAAAAAATCGCTTGTCTCGAACAAGAATCGCTCGAAATGCCGCGCTCGGACGCGGAATTGGAAAGCAGGCCCCGACACGGGAGGAACGGAAATCTGATCTGGAGTTATTATCGAATTTGCCTTAACACTTTGACTGCCACACAATGGTAAAAATTATTTTGAATATTAAAAAATTTAAAGTAAAATTAAAAAAATTTAAAATATAGAGTTTGTCACTTTGGTTTACGAATGGCTCGAATATGGGTGACATTGCAAAAAGGCTCGATTGTGTAAATATCGTTACAAAATTTTTGCGTGGAATTGATGTCCCAGTAGAATTTAAAACAAAACCAACAGGAACTGTTAACTAAATGCATATATTTTCGACGATTTATGACTCAAAAAATGAATTAAAGCGTGTCTGGCTACGCACGGCCTTTTTCACTGTGGCACTCGACGCGTTAAAGGAACTTTCGTAGTGGGAAAGTTTTTGGAATTTCGGTTCTGATCTAGAGTTATTAATGTGTCTCGAAGTATACACTCCTAGGCAAAAGTTTCGAATCAATATTAAATTTTACTAAAGAAATTATTCCCTGATTTTTACCGAAACTTTCAATCTTCCAAGTTCGTTAAGTAATATAACTACATAGATTTGTTTGAATTTAGTTTCTTAACCATGGAGATCTTCAATTTTCCTATTTTGCAGATTGATTGGAAAGTTTTGGCCGCATGTGTAAGGAGCTGATGTAAGTTTACCATTATGCATAAAAGTGACACGAAAAATAAAATTACAGACGATAAAACTGTACTAGACGTGAATAATTTTATTCCCCTTGGTATTATCACATTTTCGCACAGTAAAATTATTAACGTCCAGTGAAGTCTCATCATCTGTTTTATGATGATTGGAAAAAATGTTAGTAAACCCACCTCGAAGTTATTTCTGATAATGACCCCAAGCACCGTTTACACACGTGCTACCAAAAACACCATCGAGAATGAAAATGGAATGAACGCTTGAACAAGCGGTGAAAGTGATCGACATGCGTTCATAAATCAATAAAATTTATCGAAAAACTTTCTCACCGTAAGACCAGCCGACGACGTCCCCGGTTCTCAGGTTCTCCGTTCTCAGCCAATCTTCGAGGGGCCTGAAGTACGCCCTCAACGCGGACGCGTCCAATCTGTCCTCGCCGATGGCTTCTTGAAGCGTCTGCTGCCACGGCACCGAGGACCCCTTCTCCATAATTCTCCTGAAAACCGTCGGAACAATGGGAACCGTCAGAGTTTTCCGTGACACGCAACCAGCGAAAAGAACAAAAAGAAAAAAAAAACTGGCTCGAGTATATTCAAATAACGAACCGAGGAGGGAGAAGAAGTTCGTGATTCGTGCACGCCTAGTAGAGGTGCTAACGATATTACACGGTTGCGACAGCCCGCAACAATGAAAAACCGCGGAAAATCCGCGACCACAGAGAGAACTGGAACGAGAGAAAAATAAAGAGGCGTAACGAGTCTTTCTGCCGCGCGATACTAATTAGGCTATCTTTGGCAATCGGCCGTGCGCTTCGGAGGCGTTCGAGAGTGCGTCCTGTATCCACGTTTTCTTGTGTGTCACAACAGACTGTGTTTCCATGCTGAATTAATGTCCCGATTCTGAAAGCATCGTGTGTGCATAGATTAACATCGGAACATGCACGCTACGTGTTCCACGTGAGACTCGGGTGGTTTCCCTTTCGGTGGAAGTCTTCTGTGCTCCTTTGTACCTCTGCGGTGGTTCAGGTAGAGTAAATTCTGGATAAATGCTCGGAATGATATCTACGTTAAATTCTTTTGCATTATTCCCACTGCTGGTTTTAATCTTTGAAATTGATGACGTAGGAAAATACTCTCTACGATAAGTGTTGTAAGGTAGTCAAGTTTCGAGCACTAATAGAAGATTTACTATATTCTTAATATATCCTGAAGTGCCCCTATCGTTCTGGATACTTTTTATGATGGTTTGAAATGGTTCGTCTCATTAAACCGCGTTTGGATCGTATAATTCCATCGGAAAGTCCAATATGGCGCCACAAGAGACGTCTGAACGGTAATATCGACGAATTCCTTCGGAGATAATGCGCGCTTTGATTCCGAACAACTACTCCCACACGAGGACGGTGATTTGCGTGGCCTGGCTGTCGGTTGTTATAGCGCGCATCACTGTCGTCATCGCGGTGAAACTCACGTTGTGCTTTTTTTCAGCCTCGTAAACGGGACGAGTTGTGTGGCGATGGGCGTGTATGCTCGGTTCTGCGTTTATTAATTAGAACTACGTGTACCGATTTCCATCGGATTGATAAACGTGACAAATTTTTGAAAATGTACAAATTTAGAAATCAACTAATTTCTTCAGTTTCGTAGTGGAATAAAGGTTGTAAAAGTTCCTAGTGAATACATCGCTATGACATTTTAATGATCGTTGTAAGAATATACTACCCAGTCATTTTAACTGCTTTGGTAGTTACAGTGTTAATTAAAACTCTCTGTTATATCTGTCTCAACTTCGACGACAAAGTGTCCCGACGTGAAAGATCAGTAATATAATTCGATCTTTCTGTATAAATCCCGCCAAAAAATCCTTTGGTACTCTAATTGACTTAATTTCGATCGCGGAAGGATAGTCGAACTCTTCCCAATGGACCGAAAGTGAACGTCGACAGGTCATCGACACGCTGAGTTCATGAATAATGACTCCGTAATCGAGGAACTGTTTTCAGATGGCCTGTCTCAGGTGCGTGGACCATCAAGGGAATCGGCCATTCAAATACAGAGGCATTTAAATACAATGGTCAGGCAGTAACGATAAAGAATTTCGTTACAGAGACTCGATGGATCGTCGAATCACCGGTCTCGGTTCTCTTCCGTCCGATCGTTCGATTCGCCAACGGTGTCCCTCGGATTTTACGGTGGAAATGGCGGCGCCGCAAGAAAAATCGTAAGCCAGACTCATTACGTGAATCGGTTTACGTCCGTGGCCGAGCTCGTTTCACCTGTTATTCGAGCTTCTTTCTCCGGCGACGTAACCCCTTTCCTTTTCCTCCCACATTTTTATCGCGACGGGATCACAAGTTTACAGACAATCGAGAGTCGAATGACACATCGGAGGGCTCTGCGTACAGGACATTATGTAAATAGAATTCGATCCTCGAGAATTGTCCGTTTTCTTCCTGCGTTACAGCAACACCGATCACGAGGTTTTTCCAAGGAACTATCGACACCGTACCCTTCCCTTAGAAGTCTAATGGCTAACGTCAGATTATTTCTTCTCGTTTGCCAGAGGCGAAGACGGAAATCTTCGGTCTTTTCTTCGATTTCATTGTACCTTCATTTGCCTCTGTGATACACTATTCGAAAGTAATCCGCGGTATCGATTCCAATTACACGGCACCGTTTCTCATGATTATGCAACAGGCTGCCCTTAATGGTGAAAAAAAAAAAGTGTTGTCGGATCGGTACAGCGAACCACGGGAACGGTTAATCGAAAGTGAAAAGTGCCTCGTCGATGGCCATTAAAACCATGACACAACACCGGCGATCTTTCGGAAAGTCATGCGGGTGTAGAAGCCGTTCCCTGTCCACTTCCGGTTCCTTGTTCCAGAAGGGAAGGGGTTGTGGGTCCAATCTCGTGGGAATCGACCGTACAGGCAAAAACATTTCGGTATGCCCTCGATGTAATTTATATCGATCTCACAATTTCCGGTGCTCTCGCCACTTGGTCGGACGAAATCGCCACTTTCCTGCCCCGAGCGCGGCGATATTTCGCAACGTGGGATGCTGGACGGGGCCCAAGTCTACGTGTCTCTAACGCGTTGCCAGACTTCGAACGATCTTGTTCATTTATTCGGGAAAGTTTATAGTCACAACGAAGGCGTTCGATGTTTGCTGTGGATTTGCGACAATCTGCTTAGAGTATAGAATTATCCGGGTCAACGAGCTGTTTTAGAATGCAGTTCTATTATTTATTGCAATGTATAGTTGGCTCTGTAGATTCTGATAGACAACCTTTTGACGCATGTAGTAGCGATGCACTTTTAACGTTAGATCATCTGCTGCTATTTGGTCGTCGAGCAAATTCTGAACGATCTACATTCGTTGGAGTCCTCGAAGGAAAGTTATGCTTCGTATCCACACGAGGGGAATTTTTATGTTCGTATCCACTTGAGATTAGTCTTCCAATAGGAGTATTTGGTCGTCGAGCAAATTCTGAACGATCTACATTCGTTGGAGTCCTCGGAGGAAAGTTATACTTCGTATCCACACGAGGGGAATTTTTATGTTCGTATCCACTTGAGATTAGTCTTCCAATAGGAGTATTTGGTCGTCGAGCAAATTCTGAACGATCTACATTCGTTGGAGTCCTCGAAGGAAAGTTATACTTCGTATCCACACGAGGGGAATTTTTATGTTCGTATCCACTTGAGATTAGACTTCCAATAGGAGTATTTGGTCGTCGAGCAAATTCTGAACGATCTACATTCGTTGGAGTCCTCGAAGGAAAGTTATACTTCGTATCCACACGAGGGGAATGTTTATGTTCGTATCCACTTGAGATTAGACTTCCAATAGGAGTATTTGGTCGTCGAGCAAATTCTGAACGATCTACATTCGTTGGAGTCCTCGAAGGAAAGTTATACTTCGTATCCACACGAGGGGAATGTTTATGTTCGTATCCACTTGAGATTAGACTTCCAATAGGAGTATTTGGTCGTCGAGCAAATTCTGAACGATCTACATTCGTTGGAGTCCTCGAAGGAAAGTTATACTTCGTATCCACACGAGGGGAATGTTTATGTTCGTATCCACTTGAGATTAGACTTCCAATAGGAGTATTTGGTCGTCGAGCAAATTCTGAACGATCTACATTCGTTGGAGTCCTCGAAGGAAAGTTATACTTCGTATCCACACGAGGGGAATGTTTATGTTCGTATCCACTTGAGATTAGACTTCCAATAGGAGTATTTGGTCGTCGAGCAAATTCTGAACGATCTACATTCGTTGGAGTCCTCGAAGGAAAGTTATGCTTCGTATCCACACGAGGGTAATTTTTATGTTCGTATCCACTTGAGATTAGTCTTCCTATGGGACTATTTGGTTGTCGAGCAAATTCTGAACGATCTACATTCGTTGGAGTCCTCGAAGGAATGTTATGCTTCGTATCCACTTGAGATTAGTCTTCCTATAGGACTATTTGGTTGTCGAGTAAATTCTGAACGATTTACATTTGTTGGAGTCCTCGAAGGAATGTTATGCTTCGTATCCACACGAGGTTAACTTTTATGTTCGTATCCACTTGAGATTAAACTCCTCATATGGTATCTTCCATAGTTTCATCTCTTCTGCTCGAAGAACAGGCTTTTTGTGCGTCATACTTCATCTGCTATCGCCCGATCCACTTTCAATTTACAGTTGATATACCGACATATACACCTCCATATTACCTAACATAACACTCGACGCGTCGAGCCACGAGTTCCATTGTCTGCCCATGGAATCACGAGTCAGCCAAGTTCCAGCAAAACTCCGTATCGAATGATTTACCATTTGCCGGCACGGGTAGAACACACCGAGTCACGAGGCCCGTCTACCACCAGCACACGGCACGGATCTACGGTGTGTGTTTTAAGGGTGATCTCTGACTCACTACGACGGTCGCCGTGTCTACTGTGGGAAACGTGTGTCATTTGACTAAAGGGAGGGGGTTTACGGTTTTGCACGATACCCGGGCCTCCGTTGTTATTTGCCTCGTTACGATCCGAGGACCTTGACAGGTCCCACAATAAGAGTGCGGCCAACCATCGTGCGCAAACTGTTTCCCCCGTAATTGTTGCTTCTATTATTATCGGAAAATACGACATAGATTTCCTTATTGAGCCACGTTGCTTAATTCCTTTCGGGAGGAGAGGGACTTTCGAAATACGAGCGACGCGATCGATCCACCGTGTTCAAGGACGGTACCACTCCATTTGCATGAATTTCAATGGATTCCCGGCAGTTAATCGTGACCATTAAATGTTGATCGGATACCGGTCGATCTTCGTGGGGGGATTTATGCTGATTGTCGAGATGTTGCTCGATTCGTTGAATTTCAACGAAAAATATTATTCTCGTTGGAGGAGAGTATTTTCGTGGTTTCAAATTACATATAACAATTCCCGCTCGGAACAATAACACTCATATATCAGTATGTTCCACGTAACGTAAGCACCTTAAA